CCACATTGTTCTCCCTCTTTATGCAGGATCTCCTACATCCCTTCATATGTGACATTTGGTTTTGCAACTTGCTTTTCTTTTTTCTTTTTTAAAAAAACTTTTTATTGTCATTTGGGTGACAGTTTACAGAGCAAATTCATTTTCCATTCAGCAGTTCACATACATTTTGTTCTATGACATGGATCGTAATCCCCACGATGTACAATGGAACAGCTCTCTTCCCACTTCTTCCTGTGGTCACCTTTTCATGCTGTCCTTCTTTCCTGTGCATTCCTGCCCTCTGAGCTTTGTCCTTGTGCAAATGCTGCCCTTCTGATCACCCATGGTTGATTGTTCTAAGGAGTGCACCTCCTTTGTGTAACTGTTCACCCCTTACGCCTGTCTCTATTTGGCTGAAAGTTGAGCCACAGGAGTGAGTTTAGTTCCAGGCCTGAGTGGTGACTTGGGGCCATAGTCTCAGGGGTTTCATGGTCTTTGTCAGACTGGTAAGCCTGGTCTTTTCTTAATGATTTTGAGTTTGTTCTACATTTTCCTCCCACTGTATGCAGGATCTCCAATTTTGATTTCTTCCTGAGTGGTTGACAGTGGTAGCTGGGCACCATCTAGTTTTTCTGGCCTCATGGTCATGTAGGCTGAGGTTCCCATGGTCCTCTAGTCCCTTGGACTAATTGTTTCCCTGAGTCTTTGGTTTTCTACACTCTTCTTTGCTATGGATGAGGAGAGACCAATAGTTCCATCTTGGATGGTTGCCCATAAGCTTTTAAGACCCCAGTTGCTACTCACAAAGTAGGATGTGGAACATTGTTTTTGTGTAGTATGCTATGCCAGTTAAGCTTGATAGCCCCTGCAACCGTGTTCGCGAGACTGTAGGCTTAGCAACTCACTCCCTCAAGGTGTTTGGTTGTGGCTAAGAAGTTATCATAACTTTGTCCCCTGTTAGCTCTGTTTATATATGGACATTTTTTATAGTACATACAAATATGTATGTAGAAATATTGCCTCCCAAACCTATATATGGTTATGAGTGCAACTTGCATTTCTTATTTGTGATTTTGCTGTGGTCATTTCCTCATGTCCCAACATCACTTAAGAATGTGTTGACCACTTTATGAGGATCCTGCAGAGAACAAAGCTCCCAGGTCACATGTGTACATGGATTTTTCACAAACTGAACACACCCATGTGACTCTGAAGCTCCCTCCCAGCCACCACCACCACCCCCAGGACAATTATGGTCCCAACTCCTAGAGTAGAGCTTAGTTTCATCTGTTCTCATTTTAATTTGCTATAAATTGAATCCACCACCCCTCTGCCAATGTGGCCTCCTGTGGTGCTTGCATGTGGCTGTAATGCTGAAAGCTATACCTCGGGTATTTCAAATACCAGCAGGGTCACTCACAGTCGACCTGAGGTTTCAGTGAAGCTTCCAGATAAGAGATGAGGAAGATAGCCTGGAAATCTAGTTCTGAAAATCAGCCAGTGAAAACCTCATGGATTACAACAGAACACTGCCAACTCACTTGCTTTGGACATGTCATCAGGAGGGATCAATTGCTAGAGGAAGACATCGTGTTTGGTGAAGTAGGGCCAGCAAGGGTGAGGGAGACCCTTGGGGAGATGGATTGGCACAGAAGCCGCAACACTGGACTTGCACATGCCAGTCAGCAATCATGAGGATAGTTCTGTAACAGGCAATGTTACATTCTTTGGTACATGGAGTCACTATGAGTCAGAGGCAACTTGACAACAGCCAACAAAGACAACCAATAGAATCATTCCTCTGCCCTCTTTTATGTCTAGCTTCCTTCACTCAGTGTTTTTGAGACTCATTTATGGGGCCCCTTCTCATTGATGTCCTGTATGGGATATAGTTGCTTGACTTTTGGTGGCCCCATGATTACATTCCTTTTGAGTATTTTCATAGGAGTAGAATTGCTGGGTCACCTTCAGGATACCACCAAATGCTTTTCCAAAATAGTGTGACATTTTACACTCCCAACAGTCACACTTGAGATTCCACTTGGTCCACATCCTTGTGAACACTTGTGATGTCTTTTTCATTTTAGTCATTTGTATGCACCTGGGCATTATTTCTATTAGCTGGGTAATGTGCTGTTGTATGGATGTTATATCGATTACTTGAAGCCACCCCCTACTGATAAGCATTTAGGTTGTTTTCAGTTTTTACTCTTCTGAACAATATAGTGATGAACATCCTTAAACATATTTCTTTGTGATAGCCTTGTTGGTTCTTTCCAATGGTTTGTTGTTAGCTACATGATAACATAATAAACTTCCTTGTGTATATGTTTTTGAGAACTTAGTGAGCTTTGTTTTGTCTGTATTTTGCTTTTAATGTTGCTTTTTGTATTGGTCTTAGAGACAGAGCCAGCCCAGGACAGTGTTGCTGCACATCACATGGGATGAAAAACTGAAGTCTGTCTCCTCTTTCAGGTTGGCTTCTGAGATTGTACCTTCTCTTGCGTCTACTCCAACTCTATGACCCTCCAAGGTAGGAAGACAAGGGATCTGATGGTCCAGTCTGGGGAGGAGGGCTACGGTCAAGCACAAGTGTGTCATGTTCCAAGTTATATGACAGGGCTGCTCAACAATGTTCCAATTTTCTCTGCATGTACATTACTTCTCAGAGCCACAATCTTCTCCTCATCCATCCTTCTACTCATCCTTCCATCTATAATTCATCCATCTACTATGTGATCACCAGACTGCCATTCATTTATCTCTTCACCCATTCCTACAGCTCTCTTCATTCACACATCTGTTTATTCACTCAACCTTCATCTAGCCCTCCATCCTTCTACTCATTCATTCACAACATTACCTTTCCAGCCATCTACTCACCTCATTCACTCACACATTCATCCATCCACCCAGTCATCCATCCATCTACCCAATCATCTGTCCATATCCACCCACCCATTCACTCACTTATCTATTTATCTACTCATCCATCTACTCACCCACCCACTCATTTATCCACCATTCACTCAATCATCTATCTAACCATTCATCCATCCACCTACTCACCTTCTCGTCCTCCCATTCATCCATCATCCATCCATTCATTTACTCATCTACCCATCCATCCACCAATTTCTCCAATTATGCAACAACTTTCTATTCACCCATCCATTTACCCACTCATCCATCTATCCCTCCACTGATTCATTTTTCCATTTCCCTCCTCATTTATCTGTTTATCAACTTATTTACCAACCTCATTTATTCATCCATTCTTCCTTCCACTCTCCATCCCATCCACTATTTATTCATCCATATCCATTAATTTATCAGTATCTAGTCATGCACTCATCTACCCACTCAACTTTGACTCCATTGACTCACTCCATTCATTTATCAGTCAAGCTAGCCCACCCACCCATCCACTCATTCAAAGCCTAGAATCAGGTCCTATGACTGAGATGAAAACACAGAAGTGACTCAGACCTGGGTCCTGCCCTCTAGGAATAAGCAGTCAATGGGTGGAGGCAAATGACAATTACACACATACACACACAAAAAACAAAACCAGGAAATTTCCAAAACCATGTGATCAGTGCTATACTCGGGGTAGGTTGTATTATCAAGAAGCGGAAGCAATTTGGAAGGCAGGTAGGTGGGTCAGGCATTCAGATGAAAGCACACGCTGTGGTGTTCCAGCACTAAAGTGGCCCTGGGATGATGAAAGAGACACAGGTATCCACAGGTGACCAGGACAGAGATGGCTTGAGAAGGGAGGAGGAGGATGCAAGGCCCCAGAAGCAAGAAGATCTAGGTGCTGGATGAACACTTGCCCAGCAGGAGCACTCATGCCTGTGCAGCACCCACTCCCTGACTACCTCCCTGCCACCCCCACAGGCAAAGCTGACACCCCCAGGAACCAAGACAATGCAGCAAGAAACACCAACACAGCTCCCAGACCAGATGTCACCCAGTAGGCAGAGCTGCCCCCAGCCTGGGTCTGCCCTCAATCCTCCATGTGAGGCAGAGACACAACTCCCTGAGCCCCAGCATGAAGCTGCCACATCCCAGGAGGCCCTTGAGCAGCAGGCAACCAAGGAGAAGCCAGAGCGCCGCCAAGTCCCCCGCTTTCGGGCTGTGGTAGAGAGCCGTGCCTTCAAGAACATCCTGGTGGATGAGATGGACATGATGATGTCTCGTGCAGCCACCCTCATCCAAGCCAACTGGAGAGGCTACCAACTCCGGCAGAAGCTAATCTCCCAGATGATGGCGGCCAAGGCCATCCAGGAGGCCTGGCGGCGCTTCAGCACCAAGCGCATCCTCCACTTAGGCAAAGGGCCAAAGAAAGAAGTGGAAGATGACAGGGACATCCCTTACCATCCTCCCCAGCAGGTGCGGTTCCAGCAGCAGCTTCCAGAAGGGCAGAAGCCCTTCTCACAGAGCCTGCCCCAGACCATCATGGTTAACAAGGAGACCCAGTTCCCTTCCTCAGACAGTCTGGTTCCCTGCACCTCCCAGCAGGCCATGCAGAAGTCCCTGGCAGTCCCAGGTCCCCTGGAGCCCAGCATGGCCTCTTCATACATGCTTGGAACCCCCAACATTGCTTTCTTTCCACACCAGACTGTAGCCATAAGGCTCCCATGTCCAATGCACATAGACAACAAACGCCAGCACCCCTGCATGTTGACAAAGACCATTAGGAGCTCCTGCCTGGTTCACATAGAGGGGGACATGGTGAAGGACAGACATCTGACCACCAGACCCCACAAGGCAGGGACCATGGAGCCAGCACTGTCTGGAACGTGTGACCAAGTGGGGAGTGGATCCCTCAAGACTCAGACCCAGGCCCATGTAGAAGCAGAGGCCTCCAGACCCCCAGCGCAGGTGTGCCTGGTGCCCATGATGGCCCTGACCCCACCCCAGACACGCAAAGCAGTTGTGACAACAAAGATCCCATCTCAGACATGCCCGGCCACTGTCATAACCAAAATCCCACCCCAGACATGCACAGTCAGCATGAAGACCAAGATCCCACCCCAGGCATGTATGATGCCCCCAACAACCAAGACCTCATCTCAGGCACGCCCAGCAGCTGCCATGGCCTACATCCCACCCCAGACACATCCAGCAGCTACAACCACCAAGACCCCACCCCAGACACGTCCAGCTTGCACGATGACCAAGACCCCACCCCAGATATGCTCGGTTGCGGCCATGGCCAGGATCCCATCTCAGACATATCCAATGGCCAAGACTCCACCTCAGGCACGCCTGGCCACCATGATCACCAGGACCCCGGCTCAGATTCGCTCAGTAGCCACCCTCCTCAAGACCTTCTGCCTGTCCCCAGCAACTACTGGAAATCTGAAGGCGCCACCTGAAGCCAGTGTAGCAAGTGAGATGCCTAAGTCTTTATCCCATGAGCATCAGAATGCAGCCAATGTGAAGGCCACCTTCATGGAGAAGCAGGTAGATACAACACTCAAGGTCTCATCCCAGTTGTACATGACTGCAGAAAAGGCCAAGTGCCTATCCCAGGAAGTAAGGGCACCCAAAGCCCTAGCTGGTCCTCACTGGGAAGCTGAGAAAAACAAGATCTGCCCCCAGAGACAGATGAAAATGGAAGTAGCATCCAAGACCAGTGTGGACATGGGAATGGCCAGGACTTTGTCCTGGGCCAAAGTTGTTAAGGACAAAAGCAAGACCCAAACACAAGCTCAAGAGAAGAAGGAGACAGTTAGAGTCCTGCCCCAGGCATGTCCACCCACTGAAGTGGTTGTGACCCCATGCCAGGCCCAGCCAACCACCATGCTGACCAAGACCCAATGCCAGGCACATCTGCCCACCAGTCTGGCCAAGACTCTGTCTAAGACTCTGTCCAAGGCCCTGTCCCAGACTCAGCAGGTGGCTGAGCTGCCAAAGGCCCAGTTCCAGGTCCAGTCTCCTGCTGGGCTGACCAAGACGCAATCCCAGAAGATGGTCAAGCTAACCAGCACGCAGTGGCAGGGCCAGACACCCACTGGCTTGGCCAAGGGCCAGTCCCAGGTCCAGCAGGTGGCCAGGCTGACCAACATGCAGGTTCAGCAACAGGGGCCCGCTGGACTGACCAAGGCCCAACCCCAGACCCAGGTGGTCACTAGACAGAGCAAAGTCCAGGTCCAGGCCCAAATGCCTACTGTACTGACCAGGACCGAATCCCAGGCCCAGCAGGTGGTTCAGAGGACCAGGACCCAGTGCCAGGCCCAGATGACCACTGGGATGAACAAGTCTCAGTCCCAGACTCAGGTGGTCACTGGACTGACCAAGACTCAGGTCCAGGCCCGGACACCCAATGCACTGACTAAGGGTCAGTCCCAGGCCCAACGGGTAGCTGAGTTGACCAGGATCCAATGCCAGAGAGAGATGCCTACTGGGCTGGCCAGAACTCTGTCCCAGGACCAGCTGGTCAGTGAGCTGACCAAGGTCCACTTTCAGGCTCAGATGCCTGCTTCACCAACCAAGACTGAGTTGCAGGCCCAACAGATCTCCAGGCTGACCAAGACCCTGTCCCAGGCCCGGCTGGCCACAGAAACAACCAAGCCTCTCTCCCCAGCCCACCACGCTGCTGACCTCAGCAAAACCCAGTCCCAGCCCCAGCTGGCTGGGTGCAAGGCCGCCACCCAGACCTGCCATAGTGTCTGTGCCCTGGGCCCCCTGCCTCAGGCCAAACTGGATGACAGACTGACCCAGATCCCAGCCCCCAGCCTCCCACTGGGCAAGTCTGCTCAGGGCCTTCGCCCACCAGGCCCAGACACCCAGGACATGCTGATGCCACTGCTGGCCGGATACCCCTCCTGCAACATTGAGTCCTGGGGTGACGGTGGGGCAGCCCGGGCCCCACCACCCACACACAGCCAGCCTGCGCTCTGCCTGGAGGAGGCAGCGGCCTCCCAGCTGGCATCCCTGTACACTGAGCTGACGACCATGCTGGGCTCCCAGGAGGACCTCCGTTCACTACTGTGCAAGGCTCTGTCTCAGGGTGAAGTGCGGGCTGCCCTGACCCAGGTCCTCTCCAAGGAGGTGTTGGGAACCACTGTGGCCAAGGCCCTGCCTCAGGGCATGCTGGGTGCGGTGCTAGCCAAGGCTCTGTCCTGGAGTGAGCTGGGTGTGGCTGTGTCACGGGCACTGTCACGGACTGAACTTCGGGCAGAGCTGGCCAGGGCCGTGCAGGGAAGGCTGGCTGACGTGCTCAGCAAGACACTAACAGAGGATGAACGGGCAGCGCTGAGCCAGGCCCTATGCCAGGGGGAGCTGGGTGCCGTACTGAGCACGTCTCTATCACAGACAGTGGCGCTGAGGACCGCAGCCATGTTTCCCAAGGCAGCTGTGAAAACAGCAGGCAGCAGCTTGAGGGCAGGGCCTGGCACTGTGGAGGTGGACTGCAGGGGGACCCCTTCAGGTGTTTGGAAGCCTACGTTGGCCAGCAAGGTCAGGGTCCCCTGCGATGGGGCTTGGGAGGAGATGGGGGATGGGGCTACACTTGGGAGGTCACCCTGCTTGTTGGGGGTCTCCATGGGTGGTTCCTTGACCAGTAGGGAGATCACCACCCACCACCAATGTTCACTCATCTTGGACCTGAACTCCCAGCCGCCCTGGGAAGTGAGGGCTGGCAGTCATCCCTCTAGCCTGTCCTTGAGCCAAGTGGTCAGTGGGGACAAAGCGTCCACCGTTAGTTGCATGGGGCCTAATTTGCCCCAGTTGCCTCACTTGCAGCCATCCCCCAGTCTATGGCCACCGCTTATTGCCAATGGTATTGGCCCTAGCACCAGCCGGCCATCGGTGACTGGTGGTACAACTCCCAACTCCCACAAGCCACATATGGTCAGTAAGGTGGCCCCTTGTGCGTGGTTGTCACCAGGGGCAACCCAGAGGGTCTCAGGCAAGCTGCCAAGCTCACTGGGGAGTGGGGGAGCCGCACAGTTCCACCAGTCGTCTGTCACTTGCAGTGGATCTGCCTGCTGGTGCCAGGTCTCAGAGATCAGGAGGGCCCCTTCTGGGATGCACCGGTCCTCCATGGGCAGAGGGTTAGGCCCTGGATCACAGCCCCAAAATCACAAGCAAGCATCCGTAGGTCCCAGGGACTTGCCAGGCAAAGGGACCTCGAACTCATCATCAGCCACCATGGCAAGCAAAGTGTCTCACACTAACCCCCAGGCGGCCCGTGGCCCTCTGCCGGTTTCCATTCCATCCAAGACGCAAAGCTGCTTGGTGACTCAGGTCAATCCTAACCTGTTCCAAGCCCCAAAGGGGCTTTCTCAGACACCCATCACTGTTCAGGAGAGTACTCGGCCATGGGTGTCCACGTCCGCCATGTCCCAGCCCCAGGAGTCAACAACTGGCGATCAAATGCCCATGTTCAACAGGCTGGTGATCCCCTCAGCAGACACTGGGCTGGCCAGAAGTTTCTGTCAGGGCTCCATGGTCCGTGGCATAGTCCTCAGCAACTCCCAGAGCTCTCTCCAGAGCAGCAGCTCAGTCAGACTGTCCACCATGTCTGTGGCCAGCTTGAATGGCATTGACCTAGTGGAGGAATCCCGGGAAGGCACCTTAGAGGGTGATCTGCAGACAGGCCCCCTACTCCCTGGGGAAGAGAGGGGGAGCCACCAGGGGCCTGGGAAGATAGAGGAGGCCAGTAGGACCCAGCCTGGGCACACTCCCATGAGCCCATGCCAGCCTGCCACAGCTTCAGAGCTAGTCCCCATTCTGCACCATGGATCAGTAACTAGCCATATGTCCTTCGGTGTCCACTGGGGCTTGGAGAGTGATACGGATGTGTCCTTGGACCCAGGCTCCAATGATACACTCAAAAGCTTGTCCCAGGCATCTGTGAGGACAGGCCTGGTGAGGAGCCTGTCTTTGGAGGATGTGACCCTACATCATCAAGCCAGCAGAGGCCAGGCATCCGTGATCAGTAGGCTGGCTCCAAGCCTCTCCCACCTATCCATGGCCATTGGGGTGGCACCCAGCCTCTCTCACCCATCTGCAGCCAGTGAGGTGGCCCCAAACCTAGCCCAGTCATCTGCAGACAATAGAGTGGCCCCAAGTCTCTCCCACCCATCTGTGGCCAGTGAGGTGGCCCCAAACCTAGCCCAGTCATCTGCAGACAATAGAGTGGCCCCAAGTCTCTCCCACCCATCTGCAGCCAGTGGTGTGGCCCCAAGCTTAACCCAGCCATCTGTGGCCAGCAGGGTGACCCCAAGTCTTTCTCACCCATCTGTGGCCAGTGGGGTGACCCCAAGTCTTTCCCAACCATCTGCAGCCAGTGGGGTGGTTCCAAGCCTAGCCCAATCATCTGCAGACAATAGAGTGGCCCCAGGTTTCTCCCACCCATCTGCAGCCAGTGGGGTGGCCCCAAGTGTAGTCCAGCCATCTGCAGACAATAAGGTGGCCCCAAGTTTCTCCCACCCATCTGCAGCCAGTGGGGTGGCCCCAAGCCTAGACCAGTCATCTCCAGACAATAGGGTGGCCCCAAGTCTCTCCCACCCATCTGCAGCCAGTGGGGTGGCCCCAAGCCTAGTCCAGTCATCTGCGGCCAATAGGGTGGCCCCCAACCTCTCCCACCCATCTGCTGCCAGTGGGGTGCTCCCAAGCCTAGCCCAGCCAACTGCAGACAATAGGGTGGCCCCAAGTTTCATTTGCCCATCTGTGGCCAGTGGGGTGGCCCCAAATAAATCCCAGTCATCTGCAGCCAATAGGGTGGCCCCCAACCTCTCCCACCCATCTGTGGTCAGTGGGGTGGCCCCAAGCCTAGCTCAGTCATCTGCAGACAATAGAGTGGCCCCAGGTCTCTCCCACCCATCTGCAGCCAGTGGGGTGGCCCCAAGTGTAGTCCAGCCATCTGCAGACAATAAGGTGGCCCCAAGTCTCTCCCACCCATCTGCAGCCAGTGGGGTGGCCCCAAGCCTAGCCCAGCCATCTGCAGACAATAGGGTGGCCCCCAACCTCTCCCACCCATCTGCTGCCAGTGGGGTGGCCCCAAGTGTAGTCCAGCCATCTGCAGACAATAAGGTGGCCCCCAACCTCTCCCACCCATCTGTGGTCAGTGGGGTGGCCCCAAGCCTAGCCCAGCCATCTGCAGACAATAGGGTGGCCCCAAGTTTCATTCATCCATCTGTGGCCAGTGGGGTGGCCCCAAATATAACCCAGTCATCTGCAGCCAATAGGGTGGCCCCCAACCTCTCCCACCCATCTGTGGCCAGTAGGGTGGTCCCAAGCCTAGCCCAGTCATCAGTGGCCAACAGGGTGGCCCCAAACCTAACCCAGTCATCTGCAGCCAATAGGGTGGCTCCAAGTCTCTCCTACCCATCTGTGTCCAGTGGGGTGGCCCCAAGCCTAGCTCAGTCATCTGTGGCTGACAGGGTGGCCCCAAGTTTCATGCACCCATCTGTGGCCAGTGGGGTGACCCCAAATATAACCCAGTCATCTGCAGCCAATAGGGTGGCTCCAAGTCTCTCCCACCCATCCACAGCCAGTGGGGTGGCCCCAAGCCTAGCCCAGTCATCTCTGGCCAATAGGGTAGCCCCTAACATTTACCAACCATCTGTTGTCAGTAGAGTGCCTCCAAACCTAGCCCAGTCATCTCTGGCCAATAGGGTGGCCCCAAATCTCTCCCACCCATCTCTAGCCAGTGGGGTGGCCCCCTGTCTCTCACACCCATCTGCAGCCAGTGAGGTGGCCCCTAGTCTAGCATCAGTGGCCAGAAGGGTGGCCCCAAGTCTATCCCAGCCATCTGTGGCTGGTAGGGTGGTTCCTGGCCTAGCCCAGTCATCTGCAGCCAATATGGTGGCTCCCAGCCTAGCATCAGTGGCTAAAAGGGTGGCCCCAAGTCTATCCCAGCCATCTGTGCGCAGTGGCATGAGTTATGGCCTTGATCAGCCAAACTTGACTTCTAGGATAGATTCCAATATTCATCCCTCTAAGGTTAATGCTATAGCTTCAAGTTTGCATCAACCATCCATGGTTTTAGGGGTCACACCAGGTAAACGATACCCCTCTGCAGCCAGTGAGGGCTGGGCTTGGAGCCAGCGTTCTTTAGATTCTTGGGTGGACCCAAATCAAGATCCTCTGATGGATAATGGAGTGGCCTCTAGCCTCCAGCACCCCAAGTTCAGCGAGGTATACCACAGTGTGAGCCAACCTTCCCCAGTCACTGTTTCTACACCAAACCTTTACCAGGCCTCTGTGGTCAATGGCGTGCCTGCTGGTCTAAGCCAGGGGATCAATATTTCTCAGGGGGACCTATTCAGAGGAATAGCCCCAAGTATGGCTCAGGGAAGTATGCCTGCCAACATGGCCCCAAATAGGTCTCAGGGGACCATGGCAACTACCATGACTCCAAATACGTCTCGGAGAAGTGTGGCTGCTGGTATGGGCCAAAGTCAGTCTCATATAGCTGCTGGTGTGGCACCAAATATGTCTCAGGGAACCACAACTGGTGGCATGGCCCTAAATATGTCTCAGGGGATTGTGAGTGCTAGCATGACTCCAAATATGTCCCGGAGAAGTGTGGCTACTGTTATGGGCCAATGTCAGTCTCTCGTGGCTGCTGGTGTGGCACCAAGTATGTCTCGGGGGACCATGGCTGCTGGCATGGCCCTAAACATATCTCAGGGGACCATGACTGCTAGCATGACTCCAAATATGTCTCACAGAAGTGTGGCTACTGGTATGGGCCAAAGTCAGTCTCATGTGGTTGGTGGCGTGGCTCCTGTTGCATCTTGGGTTTCTGTGGCAGACGTGCCTTTGATTCATGAACAAGCCTCAGTGGCCCTCAGCTTCTCTCAGCCTTCATTGCCCAACAGACTAGCAGAGAGTTTGTCCAAGGGTTCCTTGCCCAGTGTGAACTCCAGTACCTCTCATCTCAGTGTTGATCTTCCAGCATCCTTGGATTACCAGCACCCTTCTGTGGCCATAGTCATAACACCTGGTTACCAACAAACAAATGTTCTCACTCAGGAGTCTATGATGGGCACAGCAAGTGATTTGGTGCCAGATTCTGTAGCCAGTAGATCGGTCACAGCCATGGTACCAGGCACTGTGGCCAGTGGAGTGATCCCTAAACATGCCCCAGGGTCTGTGATGAGGGGCATGTGCCAAAATCTTTCCCCAGAGTGTATGATCAATGGCACAGCCAAGACCCTCTCTCCTGGTTATGTGGCAAGTGGCATGGCCCAGACCATTCCACCAGGTTCTGTGGCCAGTGGCATGGCCCAGACCATTCCACCAGGTTCTGTGGCCAGTGGCATGACCCAGACCCTTCCCCCAGCTTATGTGGCAAGTGGTGTGCACCAGACCATTTTACCAGGTTCTGTGGCCAGTGGCGTGACCCAGACCCTTCCCCCAGCTTATGCGGCAAGTGGCATGGCCCAGACCATTCCACCAGGTTCTGTGGCCAGTGGCATGGCCCAGACCCTTCCCCCAGCTTATGTGGCAAGTGGTGTGCACCAGATCATTTCACCAGGTTCTGTGGCCAGTGGTGTGGCCCAGACCCTTTCCCCAGCTTATGTGGCAAGTGGCATGGCCCAGACCCTTCCCCCAGCTTATGTGGCAAGTGGCGTGTCCCAGACCATTCCACCAGGTTCTATGGCCAGTGGCGTGGCCCAGACCCTTCCCCCAGCTTATGTGGCAAGTGGCATGGCCCAGACCATTCCACCAGGTTCTGTGGCTAGTGGTGTGGCCCAGACCCTTTCCCCAGGTTATGTGGCAAGTGGCATGACCCCTGGCTTGATTGCTGCATCTGTCAATGGTAGAAAGAGACAGAGTTTGCCTCTAGGACCTATGAATAGCATGACTGCTCCAAACCTGCCCCGAGGCTCAGTAATAAGTGGGATGCCCCTGAATGTACCTCGTAGTTCTATGGCAACTGTGGGCACCTCTGGTGTGACTCCAGAATCTATAGATGGGGGGCTGAATCAGAGCCTGGTTCTAGGACCCACAGCTAGTGTGACCCCAGTCCATGTTGGATCTCTACTGATTGGGATCACACCCCATCCTTACCATGTTTCCCTGGCTGGGGAGGAGTCCTTGACCCCCTTCCAGGCATCCCATGCTGCTAACACAGCTCAAGTTCACCCCCAGACCTCAGAAGCAAGCAGCATAGCCAGGAAGCCACGTCGAGTGCCCACGGTCCTGTCCAGAGCCTCCCAGATGGACCAGGCTGTTAGGATGATGCCATCTGAGGCCGCAGAGAGCCAGGCCACGTTGAATTCAGGAGTGCTAGATGAAGTCTCATCCCAGATGTCAGAATCTAGTGAAGAGTCCAATGACTTCAACAGCAAGTCTTTGGTCCTTGAGGCAACTCCATGGATGGACCAGGAGCCCATGAGGCCTGACATGGATGATTATCACCAGCCTCTGTTAGAGGAAGGGAATGCAAATGAGCCCCAGATGCCACTGTGGGGGGAGGTGGCAACCAGCTATACCAAGTCTGTGGCCAGTGGTGTGGCCCAGACTCTTCCACCAGGTTCTATAGACAGTACCTTGGCCAGGACTCTACCTCCAGATTCAGTGGCCAATGATGTGGCCCCTAGCCCTCCTCCAGGGTCTGTGACTAGTACCAGGACTCTCCCTCTAGGTTCAATGGCCAGTGGCATGGCCCAGACCCTTCCACCAGGTTCTGTGGCCAGTGGTATAGCCCCTACCCCTTCAGAGGCCCCCCATTTAGCCAAGCACTTCATGGCTGGCAGCACCACCCCAACTCTTCAGCCTAGGTCAGCAGCCAGCAGAGGGACCCCAAGCAAAGGGCTCAGTCTGTATACAAGGTCTGTGGATAGCAGGGTCATGAACCAGTCCCTGGGGGTCTCTGGGGTCCCTTCAGACCTTCCTATGGTTCCCCAAAGCCACTCCCAAGCAACACCTTTCACCACCACCCCCAGATCACCCCAGATGGCCCATGGCAGTTCCTTGGCCCCCAGCAAGCCCCCGGGGTCCATGGCCCAGATAGGGTCCCCAAGTCTTTCTCGGGTGCCCAGGGCCTCCACTGTGGCTTCGCATATGCTACAACAACCATCCTCAACAAGTGGGGCAGTGTCCAGTCAGTTCCAGATGGGCACTGAATCTGGCACATCCCCATCAGCTGTGGTTGGGGACGTGGCCCACAGCAGCTGCCGTGAGTCCCTTGGTCCCAGGAAATCATTTAGGTCCATTCATGGCAGCATTGTTTCCGAGATGCTAGATGGTTCCCTAGCCAGGTTGGTGCCACCCCACCAGCTGCAGGAAAACCACCCCCTGTCCACACAGCCCGGTCCTAAGCACCCTGTGGACACCCTGCACTCGGGCATCATCTGTACCAGTGATGGGGCCCATGGCACAACCATCCCACGGATCCGCCCGGGCGTCCGCAGAGTGTCACTGGGTTACGAGTCTTCTCCCAGCGGCTCCCTGCGGCCCCTCTTTGACTCAGTGTCCCTGCTACAGTCCCAGGATTCCCACTCCTCGGTGGCCCCCAAGAGTAGCGACCACCTCTCCCTGACCCCCACTGTACTCCAGGGTCTCCCGGATACTGACGTGGCGGGTGGCCAGCCATGGAACGCTCCTGTCCCCAATGTCGTGGCTGGGCCTAGGGACAGCACTGCGGGCCCCAGGAGTATGTGGCAGCCAGCCGGGGGCACAGGGCCATGGGATGCCACGGTGGCAGACTCCAGGAAGTCGGGGGAGCTGTTGGCATCAGAGCAGACTGTGGAGGAGCTGATCATCCATGCTGTGGTCATCATTCAGGCGCACGTCCGTGGCTACCTGGTGCGCCGTACAGTTAAACTGTGGCACCGTTGTGCCACCGTCATCCAGGCAGTGTGGCGCGGTTATGTGGTGAGGAAGCAACTCTCCCAAATGCACATGGCCACCCGGATCATCCAGGCTCACTGGCGTGGCTACCACACGCGCCAGACCCACTGCCAGCAGATGCTGCAGCCAGCCACGTGGGCGATGTTAGGAGACTCAAGCAGGACATCGTTGGAGCACCGGTGCTTCCAGTCCTGCCAGCCGCGCTCCTGTGCCCTCTGTCAGACACTAAGCCCTGGGCTAGGGGACCCACCCAGTGTGGTCCTGCTCGTGGGCTCCAGCCCCCGCACCTGCCACATGTGTGGCCAGACCATGCTGACCCGTGTGGTACAGGGCACGGGCCAGGGCGCCCACCACCAGGAGAGTGCAGCATCACGGAGGGCCCATGGTGCCCAGCTGGCCCACTGCAGCCCCCAGCTTCCACACCACCACTACCAGAAAGCAGCCATCACCATCCAGTCTGCCTGGCGGGGCTTCCTGACTCGCCGCCATCTGAGGCAGCAGCAGCTGGCAGCCAGAAGGGTGCAAGCAAGCTGGCGTGGTCACTTCACCAGGACCTGCCTCACAAATGATATGCTCCTGGGGCCGGGGATGGCATGGGACAGCCCAGAGCACACACAGTGGCCTCCTGGTGGCATCTAGGAGTCTAGCTGCCCAGCACGGGGAGATACCAGGAGGGGCCGTGCGGCTCTCTAAGTCTGTGAATAAAGTCCTTCACAGCCTGAGTCAGGGTTGTTTGCTTCTATGGCTGTTGCTGCATTAATAGGGCCCACTCAGGCTGGAGGGCGGGGGGGTGCCTGGCACATCTTGGGAGAAGGAGCCCCAAACTCCCAACCATTCCATTTTCACTCTGGAGGTCTGTGGCCAGAATGGGGACCCAAGTCTTTCTGGAGGTTAGGAGCTGCCACTGTATCTGTCCCCAGCTAGTAGGGTGGTGTCCAGTCTGTTCCAGATGGAAGCTGTCGTGGACACAGGCACACCCTGTATGCCCGTGGCTGGGGATGTGGCCTAGAGCAGTCCCTTGGCCCTAGAAAGCTTACACATGAAGGCATTGTTCTAGAGATGCTAGAAGATTCCAAGCACATTCTTATTTGGGGATGCTAGAATGGGGTCCCTGGGGGGGTCCATGAGGAGGCTGCCTCAAGGGTGACACTGGACTCAGGCCAGCAAAGGGAGGGTGTGCAGACACCCAGAGGGTAGGTAGAATAGGGTTACCTTGTCCGGCAAAACCACACAGGTCATGAAACAAAGCAACATGAAAGGATTAAAAGCCTAAAAGGAACGAGGCACAGGCGGACGCTCTACAGATGATGCGAGAGAGACCCCTGATGTCCACGTTCTGCTTTATTTATACATTAATACACAATTACATCATTATTCTTGGAATCTGCTTAATACAGTCAAAGAATCTGCTTACAACAAGTATTCTCTAGAAAGTTAAAATTTTACTCTTTCTCGTACCCAGAGGTTTTTTCCCATGCCCGAAAGTAATAGATGATTGTTAATATCTCTTACAGAAATAGCAAATAATCACTAACATGTGTCATTCTAAAACATAATATGATTGTTAAGGTACATGATTCTAAAGAATGGTTATTAAGGTATGCTATTCCTAGAGCAAAACATTATTCCAGGGAAACAGGTTAGCAAACATTCTGCTGGGGCAGCATTCCGCCCCAGAACACGACGCTGGAGCCAAGCATTCAACCGTAAGAGAAGCCTCACCTTCTCTTCGTTGTTGTTAGAACATGTGCCTTGCAATCACGTCCTTTTGGTGGTCTTTTCTTGGTCTCCAACATTTCCTCCCTTTTTATTTTTTAAATGAAGTAAATGTGCTTCAGTAGTTAAAGATCAAATTAAACATTGAATTAATCTTGGGACCCAAGGAATAACAAATAATATAATTAAAAACATTATTACATATGGTAAAGAGTGATATAAAAATGTAGGAATGCTTTTAAAAGGGTTAAGGCTTTTAAATTCATCAAGTATAAAATTTGCAACTTGGTTTGGATCAGTTATTGGTGTATGACTACACTTTATCCTTTGAGTATCTTTATGGAATTCCTGCATTTCAAAACTAATATTTGAGCTATGCCAAACTCCTAATATTCTCATTTTGATTTTTTCCCAAGTGAATTCAGGATCACTGAAATTTACAGGGTATGATGTTACACCTATGTATTCATACCGATAGTCACAATGTAGTTCTTGCCTAACTCGTATTACTCCTAATTCATCTCCTATTGATAATACCGCTTCCTCTAACATGTCCACTTTGAGTTTAAAATCCTGATCAGTATTCTCTTCGTCTACTAATGCCTTTACTGTGTTTCAGGCTATATTATTTGCATATTGGGCTGTCTGAATAGATGATTGTAGTGCAACAGCAGCCACAGTCATAGTAGTTATCATTGCAGCAAGGGCAGTTATACTTGCAATTAAAAGCCCAGTGAAGCACTTAGATCTACTGAGCCCTTGATGCACTAAGTACAATGAATGATCTCCTGCTGACCGAAACCATCCATCAGAAATGCTAACTGGTAGGGTTATATAATGGGGTTGTGTTACCATCAATACATACTGAGCAGTTGAGGTGAAGCACTGAGTTAATAAACAGTTGTTACAAGTCACATTCCAATAATAATTTCCTAAAGTATATCTGTATCACTTATGTCCAAAGAGCTCTGTTTTGTACAGTTTCCATATTGACCCACTAGCATTAATGCATTTGGGGGTCGAACACAGGTTTGAATGTTAGTGCGATTTCCATGAGTTTCTTGTCCAGCGGTGTTGCTTCCGTAGAAGCAGAATGATTCACAGAACCCACTGCTGCAAATAGTCTCCAAAGTCCTGACTGCATAGGTCCTTCTGGGACCTGTAAGATATTTCAGAAAATGCATCTGGCGTCTGAGTTGAATGTGGAATATAGTTAAGGCTAGCATGGTCACCTCAGTCTAGAATGTACTGTGGATCCCCATGTGATTTGGGGGTTAGTAGTTAATGATAAAATTACTTTTCTGGAAAATGATAGATGACATCTGAACCAAGGTGGATAGCCTTCCCAACTCTTGGAAACATTAGGACAGACAGTATGACCCAAGGAATTTAACTTTAGGTTGCTTATTTAGATTAATGTCCATGTCATTGCCATTTGTAGAAATTTTTTATATTCTCCAATACACACGTTTATTAGAAGGTTCTAATTCCTTTTAGTTGCTTATATTAATCCAAGTGTGATATAAAACTAAGTAGGTTTCTAAGTACACAATAACTATCATTTTCGGACACCAAGCACATTTTTGGTATTAACTTTAGGCACGGTAAGGGACTATAATTATTTCAAGTGAAACAAATTGGTATTTTTGTAGCAAGACCTGAATAATTTACTAAACTTTCTCCTTTTAATAATTTTCCTATGGACTCTCCACCCTTCCCTCCAAGCCACCGGGTATCATTAATAAAGACAGGAATAGCAGGATCATAATATGTAGCAGGTCACACCCAAGGTGGATGAAACAAATATGCCTAATGAGTTTAATTTGTTACAGGGGTAATTTGAATTGACAGCTGTGCCACCATAGGTAAAAATATCATTTCCAGGGTCTGAGGCTGGTTTAGATCTTGAACCATACTTGCAGCCTTATGAGACAATGCCTTAATCCGACCCCAAGTCCGCATCATCGCTTCTCTGGTCTGATGACTTGGTAGCTGTCGCCTCCTCCTCCGATCCTGTAGTGACAGCCGCTGAAGTCGGCGCTGAACGTGATCCATCATGTCAGATGAGTCTCTCCAGTACCCATATGGGCTTGTCATTGTTTTCTGGAAAGATACAAGCATACCTTCATCGCCATGTTAATGGTGGATCTGGTCCCTTCCATTGACCTGTCAGTACCTCCTTCCACTGAACTTTGACCAAGGTGGTGTCTCGTGTCACTTTTAAGAAATATCTGTCAGCAGCAGACTGCCCATCAGTATCACAGTTCAAAAAATTTAAAGTATATAAAACATTATTTAATCTTTTTATAGGACTGTTCTAATATTCCGCTGTTACTCCCCCCTTTTGTTTTTGTAGAGTTTTATATTTTGATGTGTTCTTTCTACTATGCTTTGCCCTTTAGGATTGTAAGGAATGCCAGTGGAAAGGTTGCTAGAATAAAAGGAACAAAAATGTAAAAAAGATTTACTTGTGTAAGCCAGGGCATTGTCTGTTTTTAAATGTTTACAAAGCAAAACAATGTAATAAGTGATGAATAACATGTTTTACCTCCTTGCCTGTAAAGGCTGAAGCCATAGTGAACCCAGAATATGTGTCCACTGTAACACGTACAAAAGATTGTTTTCCAAAAGAAGGTACATGGGTGACATCCATTTGCCAAACATCGTTGGGTCGAAGCCCACAAGGGTTTAAGTCATAATGTGGCACAGGGAGATGCACACTGCAAGAAGAACAGTTTTTTATTTGTCTAGTCTGTTCTCTGGGAGCTCTGGTAGCATAGTGGCTAAGGCACTTGACTGCTAACCAGAAGGCTGGCGGTTCAAACCCACCAGCCACTCCTGGGAAGGAAGATGGGGCAATCTACTTTCATAGTGATACTGCCTGGGAAACCCAAGGAGGGGTCGTTGACGGCACATAACAACAACAACAACAGTCTGTTCTCTAGTAAGTTGGAATTGTTTATGTAAGCTAGCACTATTGTGATGAAAAGAAGCATGTGATTGAATAGCTTCCTGTACAGAAAGACAGAGTTGTTCATCCACTCATTTATTTCCTTGACTGAGAGGGCCCCCCAAGGGGGTACGAGCTTTAATGTGTGTGATGTAAAATGAATGAAAGCACTCCTGCTCTGCTTTCTGCAAAGTAAAAGAGAGTTAATAATTCTTCATTAGATATATGTTTAATTTTTCCAGTCTCGACATGGGTAAGTAAATGAACTACATACTGGGTGTCACTCACAATATTAAGTGGTTGACTTGAAAAATCTTGAAAAACAAGTAAAACAGCATAAGCCTCTGCCTTTTGTGCTGAAGTATAATGAGTGCCTTCAATTCTATCTTTAATAACAGAGTGATATCCTGCCTTTCCTTTACTAGTGCCATCAGTAAAAACTGTTAAAGCATAGGGAATAGGATGATTAAGATATTCTTGAGGAAAAACGCATTTATGTGATTCCCTACTTATAGTAGCTTCTGAGATGGTCTATGATTGTCTAATTGACCCATAAATGTAGCAGTAACAATTTACCATTCTAAATCATTGCAAATAAGGTTTTGTAATTGTTGTCTAGTATATGGTTGATATATTATAGTTAAATCTATTCCTGTTAATTGCTTATGTCTATGTAATAATTTCTGAATACAAGTAGCTACCATAGTAGGGTACGTGGTGATGGAATTAGAAAATAGATAAGAAAGATGAATCCATTCTTTAACACCCTGTGTTTGATACAGAGCTCCAGTAGGGCTTTCAGGTGTGGCTAAAATAATTCCCTGTATTGGGGTCGTAGTGTCAATTTGGGTTAATTGAGCCTCTAGCATCCATTGTTCTACTAGGGCTAATTCTCGTTTTTCTTCCTCAGTCAAATATCTGGATGAGGTTAAATCTGGATCTCCTTTTAAGGCGTCAAAAAGAGAACTAAGTT